TAATAATAATAATAATAATAATAATAATAGAAGCAAACAAAAAGATTCCCTTGCTTTCCAGGTACATGCATTCTAAAATACTTGATTTTAATAGTATTGAAAATATTCATGAGTCCCTTATTTATATGAAAGACACAGAGAGAGAGAGGGAGGAAGGAGGGAGAGAGAGAGAGAAATCACCATGTGTGTCTTGGTGCTCCCAGGAGTCAGAGAGAGCTCCAGAATGGATCTGGAGTTCCAGGTGGCCAGGGATGCTGAGTGAGAGTGTGAGAGTCTCAGATAGCAGAACTCTGATCTTCCAGAAAAGCAGCACATACTTTGACAACTGAGTCATCACCCCTCCCCTACCCCAGTTTTAATCCACACTCATTAAATTACTTTCTTTAGTAGATTGATGAACTCCCCCAATTATCATAAATTTAAAACTCTGCTGATTTTAAAAAATTGAACATATGCACAAATCCTCCAATCACAAGTCTACTTTTTCCTTCTTCATGCTTGAGGAAATTTCATGGCAAATCTTTTCAGAAAAAATATATATGTAATTATGCTAAATTTTGAAAAAACCAAAGCCTTTAAAATGAGTATTTCTTGAGACTTATGAATAGTCTTAATGGGATAAAGGTTTTTGTCACACCCACCCAAAATACACCAATTTATTAACTTAAAAACAAAACAAAAAATGTAATGGAAAGCTTGGCTCAGCAGTGCAATACTTGCTGCCAAGCCTGGCAACCTGGGTCAGAAAACAAGGACCCACTTGGTGGAAGGAGAGAAGTGACTGCAGCAGGGTTTCCCCTGACTGGCACACCATGGTGTATAGCCTCTATCAATCCAAAAAGTACTACAAAATTAATGGAGAATAATAGAAAAATTGTAAATTTTATAAAACACTTCTACCATTTATTTTAAATTAATATTGTTGTGCCCCTTCATTCCTGACTTGCAGATGCCACTGGATTATAACTATTTTCTGTAATCGAAACCTTCAACAGGTATTAAATTGACTTTTCTTTCTCTAAAATAAGGATGAGTCTGTAAGGCAATTATGGAAGTGTATGGCCTTTTTGTCCTTCTGAATATGTTGGATATGGACCTCTGAATATGTAATAAAGGAAATATGTCGACATATGTGTGACATGTTATGTTCTACCTTGTAACTAAATTTGAAGAGTCTCATGAGTCCTACAACCTTTAGCCCACAGTGGACAGACTGGCTTCATGCACGTTGGTTCTGTTTCCTCTGTATCTGTCTTGTCTATTCTGATGTATGGTCTCTAATCCAAGCAGTTTGTTTTTTTGTGAGTGAAGACTCTGAAAAGGTTATGTCTAATTTGACTAATTAAATATAGAGTAAAAGCTTTTGATTTTTAATAAATGTGTAACTCATATGGATTTACCTTGTGCATTTATGAAATGTTAATAGGTGTACGACTTTGTTTATCTATGTATACCTGCTGTTTTATAAAAGCTTATACTAATTAACATTGTGATTCACTCAGAAGGGAACTATACAGTATTACGTTTTCTCAGCCATATTGATTTAGATCAGTAGAGAGGATAAAACAGCTAAAGACAATTTATGTTTCAGGTGGAAAAATATTTTGAAAATATGACAATGTATATCTAATATCTTATTTTGATTTCCTGATCTCCATGATCACCCA